TGTTAGAAAATCCTTCCTTGCCAAGGTAAGGGAGAGCTTTGATGTGTGGACAGGTTGGCAGAAGCGGCAGCTGTTTTCCATGGGAGACTAGCTACGGTGAATGTCAGTTCTCAAAGTGAACACTAGTATAAAGGAAACTTGGAGGAGGGGGCCTGAACAGGAGCCCTTGGTAAATAAATGGCTCTGTCTTGATTGAAGATTGAAATTCTGTGCCCCAGCATGGTTTCTCATTCTTCTTCTGTGTTAGTCTTGGCTTTCTGACCGTGCTGTAAGAAATGTGGGCAAGCCTCACGCCTGCCTTTCCACAAATGAATGAAATGACACCTTAAATATTTCCCAGGCTTGCATCATTCTCAGAGGCCTCCACAAACCTGGGTCCTCAAGATTTCCATGGCAAGGCCTCTTGAACGTCACTGAAGGTCTGCTTTGGCAGACCACCATGTAGGGAAACTCCTAAATATTATTAACAGAGTCCAACACTGACAGGAGTCAAATTATATATATATATATATATACACACATATATATATACACACATATATAGATATATACACACACACATATATATATGGAGTATTGAAAACACAATTATTTCCAATAATTTATTATGCACATGCTCATAAACATGTTACACTTGTCACAGAACATATACTTGTAGCAAGCCTTCCAGAGATGAATAAATAATACCTACCTAATGAGATGGTTGATGTTTTGCATATTTGACATACACACAAAGGTTCCAGCATGAAAAGAAGCCAGAGTTGGTAATTTCTTTTAAGTGGGAGTCCCTTGACCACTGGTCACGTAGGGTGTGTGGGCCACGGGTTGAGAGCCACCATACTTAGTGAAGGAGCAATCATTAGATCGTCTCACTTGGACCAATCATTAGAGTGCTTCACAAGAGCCTGAAGGATTGCCCACTTATATGAGGTCTTCACAACCTGGGGTATATTTTACACATATAGTATGTGCACTCAAATGAGCCACAGTTCCAGTACTTGATAACCATCCAAGGCTGGTGGCTACTGTATCAGACAGTGATGCTTTAGCCAAAGACCCGGTCCATTTCTGTGGCATGTTATCTCCTCATTGAAGGTACTGCTATTGATTTATTAACATGCTTTCCTGGAGTCTGTACGTATTCTATTCATGATCTTTCATTCGCCTTACACTGTTTCAGTTACTGGGATACAGCAGCTATGCTCTTCACACACAGTGTGTCCACTCTTCAGGAGTTTATGCTCTAGTGTCTGCCATAGGCAATACATTAATAAATAGCTGAGAAAATATAATAATTGTTACCAGTAAGAAGTGATATAAAAAAATAAAAGGGGATACAGAATAAACACTTGTTGTTAGACTGTCTGACTTCTCAGCAAAGCTGAGTTTTCCCTTTGTCTTGACAGGTGGTACACTCTGCCCTGAAGAAGCATATGCATTGATCTTGGAGTATAGGATGGGGTTGAGGGCCTTTCCTGGCCTCTGGAAGACTGAGGCAGGAGTATTGCAAGTTCAAGACCAGCTTGGGTAACTCAGGAGGACCCCGTCTCAAAAAAAAAAAAAAAAAAACCCACAAAAAATAAAAAAGAAACAGTCAAAAGATCTGGGGATGTAGTTCAGTTCAAAGGCTCTGGGTTCAACCTCCCATACTGAAAAAAAAATAAAAGGAAGAAAGTCAGACAACAAATAGTCTGCGGTCGTGTGGACTGACCCTTTTTGGAATGTTTTTCAGAGTAGGAGTGGGAGTGTTAAGAATTGGGGCTTTCAAGGGCTGGGGATTTAGCTTAGCGGCACAGCACTTGCCTGGCAAGTGCAAGGCCCTAAGTTCGATTCCCGGTACCTGAAGAAAAAAAAAAAAAAATAAAATAAATAAAAGCATCAAAGAACAGGAGATTGATCATAAAAAAAAAAAAGAATTGGGGCTTTCAAGTGATTTGTTAGAAAATCAGACCATCTAAACACAGAGTAAAGAAGAAAATGGGCATATTGAATTTACATGTACAGTGAAATGAAAATCACTTTGATTTCAACACTGTACGTATTTTATCAACAACATCTGAAGATGTCCAGTTCACTTTTTCCCATCACTTGCTCATCGCAAGAAGTAAAATGAGTTTTAATGAACAGAGTCATAGATTGTGGCTATGGATCAAATAGGACGAGAAGGTGGGGGTTTCTGGAAGATTTGTTGATGGATTAAGTTGGAAGCACTATTTGTTATACCTTCTCAGTGAACAAAATAACCACCAGATTAACCAAAACTTGTGGTCATAAGAAAACACAAACAGAGCCCTATCTTTCTTCCTCCAAAGTATTGTTTTCAAAAAATGGTAAAAATATACAGGTAAGCATGCAACACAGGGTGTTCTTTTTTCTCCCATTACATGCTTGTGGTACATATTCTTGACTTTCATCTTAAGGAGCAGGTACATGTACGTACCTTACCTTAATTCTTTTTAATTTTTTTTTATTTTAAAGAAAATAAAAATTAAAAAATACAAATGATACAGAATTTCAAAACAGGATGATAGGCAATTATCATTGGTTGTTATATTGCATATTGTTATCTTCAAATAGTTGTTCAGATCACCAGATATAGGCAAGCAAAATTGATCAAACAATTAAGCATTCACTATTCCTCTCAGTAAACTAATAGAAATTAGTAGTACAGGGGCTGGGGATTTAGCTCAGTGGCAGAGCGCCTGCCAGGCAAGCGCGAGATTGTGAGTTCGATTCCCGGTACTGGAAAAAAAAAACAAAAAACAAAAAAAAGAAAGAAATTAGTGGTACAATTATCTTAGCTATCTTGTGTATAAATATTTTACTCTTTTCTTCTTTCTTTCTTTTCTCCTTTCCCCATCCCAGTTGTTCTTTCCTTTTGAGCAGATTATCTTAATTCTTTTTATACACCTTTCCTCTCCTCCTGCTCCCTTCTGTCTATCTCCAGATCCTCTTCACATTTGCAAAAGATCTATCTAGCTGTTTCCCATTATCTTTTATGTTTTTAAAAATTATTTATACTTTGGGCTTCCCATATAAGAGAAGTTATGTGATATTTAAGTTGTTGTATCTGATTTCACTTAATATTTTTGTCTTGTGGATGATCTTTTATTTTTTAAAAAATAAGTGTTGGTGAGGATGTGTAGAATTAGAAATGTAATGAATTGCTGGTAGGAATGTAAAATGATACAGCAGCTGTGGAAAACATTTTGCCAGAGTTTCAAAACTTAAACATAGACTCACTATATCAACTAGCAATTCTTTTCTTAGGTGAACAAAAGAACTGAAAGCAGGGTCTGAAAGAGATGTTTTTATACTGATTCACAATAGCCAGAAGAGAAACCATCCAAATGTCCATGGACAGGTGAATGGGTAAAAACAAAACATGCTACATAACTTGTACATAAAATGAAATATTTAGCTTTGTACAAAAAGGAAACTATGACAATGCTTCAACATGAGCAAGTCTTGAAGCTGTTACAGTAAGTTAAATAAGCCTTAACAAAAGGACAAATAATCAACATCCCCAAATTCAAAGACCCAATCCTAAAATGGGCATCTGACATGAACACACACTTCTCAGATAAAGAAATACAAATGGAAAATAAATACATGAGAAAATGTTCAACATCATTAGTCATTCAAGAATGCAAATTAAAACAACATTGAGATTCTGTCTTACCCCAGTAAGAATGGCTATCATTAAGAAATCAACCAATAACAAATGCTGGTGAGGCTGTGGAGAAATAGGAACTTTTGTCCACTGCTGGAGGGAATGCAGATTGGTGAAACCACTGTGGAAATCAGTGTGGAGATTCCTCAGAAAACTAGGTCTAGAGGTCCCATTCGACCCAGCTATTCCCCTTCTGGGTATTTTCCCAGAAGAGCTGAAAACATCATATCACAGCGATATATGTGCACCCATATTCATAGCAGCACAGCTTGTAATTGCTAAATTGTGGAAGCAACCTAAATGTCCATTCACTGAGGATTGGATAAAAAAATTGTGGCATTTTTTTTTTGGCATTTTTCTATAATGGAATATTACTCAGCTATAAAGAAAGATAAACTCGAGGCTTTTATAGGTAAATGGTCACAACTAGAGGCCGTACTCATAAGTGAAATAAATCAGACCTGCATGTATAAGCAATGTATTTTCTCACTAGTGTAAGAACCTGAAAGAGTGAATAAAAATTAGGAGGTATGATAGACTTTGTGAAATGAAAGCAAACCGCTCAAAAGTAAAAAGCAACTGGGATGAGGGAAAAAAGAAAAGAAAGAAGGGGAAAATTATGTATATATGTATATACAGGATAGCTAACATAGTTGTACTATTGACTTCTATCACATTATTGAAAGGAGCAGTTAATGATTAATTATTTTGATCAAGCTTGCATGTCTATATTTGTTTTCCAGAGTAACTGCTTTGAAGTTAGTATGTAATACAGCAACCATTGTTAATTCCCTGTCAACTTGTCTGTAATTCAGTATTGCTTGTGCTGTTCTTGTGCTACTTTGTAAATGGTTGTCTGTTTGTTAATGTTTTTGTTCTTTTACTTCTAAACTAAAAAAAAGGAGAAATAGTGTATAATTTATATGAAGACCTAGAACAGTCAAATTCCTAAGGACGGAAAATTGTATGAGCAGGGAAGGATATTGTTTAATGGGTATATAGTTTCAATTTGCTAAAAAAAAGTTCTGGAAATAGATAATTACGAAGTTCATATAATGATGTGAAAGCATTTAACGCCTCTAAACTGCACAGTCAGAAATGATGAAAATAGGGCTGGGGATTTAGCTCAGCGCTTTCCTGGCAAGGGCAAGGTCGCGAGTTCGATTTCTGGTACCGGAAAAAAACAAACAAAAAAAGGTGAAAATGCAAAAGTTACATATATATTAGATAGAATAGATACATGATACACCACAACTTGTGTGTGCATGTGTACAAGTACATATATGTGTGTATATGCGTGTGTGAGCACGTAGAGTCCTGCTCTTACCTTTTGATGCATGGGCAAATGTCTGTCCTCCTAGGTGCGAAAGGAGCGTCATTTTCTTTTTCTTCAAGCCTTCTTTTCCACAGAGAGGAAAATTACCAGCAATAGAGGAGACTTGGCAGTAGCATAGATCCAAGCCCACTTCCCTCTGGTTTGGAGAACGTTTATGGCTGAAATGGTCAGTCTGGAGTTTAAAAGAGAACGAAAGGGGAAAGATAAATTTAAAAAGAAGAAAAAGATTGTGAAACTTCAAAGCACTTACACTTGTGGTCAAATGGAACAAGTTTCTTTTTCTTTTCTTTTCTTTTCTTTTTTTTTTATTTGGTACATAAACTTGTCATAAACAAAGCACTCGAAGGGAAAATTCCCAAGCAGCAGTGCTGAGTTTAGGGTCATTTGTCTAATTAATCATGATGTATTTTCTTGCCTTGAGTGCGTCAGCTGGAATATGTTACATTCCATCCTAGGAAGAGAATCCAAGCGAACAATTCCCAATAAACAATTGTTCACTCTATAAGAGTGAAAACTTCCAAGACTTCTCATTTATGTGTGCTTGATTTTTCCATGGTCTTTCAGCTGGGGCAATACAGTCAAAGCAAAGAAGAAAGATCGGACCCTTATGCAGAGTTCTGAAATCAACCCAGTGTTGGCTTTGACCAAAATTCTAATCAGAAGGCAATGCTAGGTTTGATACAAGAGAATGACCCAGAGGGAATGCAAAAAGTAATAAGTCAGGCCTCATAAATATTTGACACAGACTTGAAGAAAGAATCACTGTTAATTCAGTCTCTTTTCCTAGTACTGCCTCTTAAATAAGTAGATGAGATTATAGCTTTTGGTTGTGTAATATTTGATAAAGTAATGCATTTAATACCCAAATGCTGGATAAGTTTAGTGAATGCTGAAACTGGATATCAATTTGAACATTACATCATTTTTAAAATGTCAAATTTTATAATTCTGAAATGTTATGCACACTTACTTCATTTAAAATAAAACGTGCCAATATCTTATTTGATTCAATAAACAGTGTAGCCACCTTACCCATGTTTGTCCACAGGAAAAAGTGAATGTGTCTATAAACTTATTTCTTTAGTTTTGAAATGTTATCTCCTATTTGTTCTTCCCTTCTTCCAAATTTGGTCCTAACATTAATGGGATGGGGACAAATGTTTCTAAGCTTGAAAAGCAGGAAACTAGGAATTTTCATTTTTCTCTCTTTCTTTTCTTGTGGCTCTGGTTATTAATACTAAGACCTTCTCACAGAACTACATCCCGACATTTTTTATTTTTTATTCTTATAAAGGGTCTTAGTAAGTGAGGAAGTTACCCAAGCTGAGTTTGAACTTGCAATCCTTCCACCTCAGCTTCTCAGAGTGCTGGGATTACAGGCATATGCCACCATGCCCCAGTAGGAATTTTCCAGATTGTTTGGATTAATAATATCCCACGTACAACATACAACCAATTCAAACAATAAATCTCACAAAATGTATTTTTATTAATTTATCATGTTAATTTTTTAATTCTTCCCTTTGAAGATGAGTAAGCAGTCTATCAAAAAAAGGTGTTTTCCTATTGCAGAAAAGAATCATATTGTCTAATTTTTTGGCATTGGCCTAGACTCTAGGTATCCCTTACATTCTCAAATAGAATTACTAGAATTTTCAGGAGCAAGGCAGGGATGTCTATTCTTGCTACCCTGCTTCACCATATTTCTTGGAATTATATCTACAGTAATGAGTAAAGAGAAAAAATAAAAGGAACACAAATAGGAAAGGATGCAGTCAAATGGTTTTTGCAGATAATATGATTATATAGTGAAGAAGGCCCTAAAGACTCGACCAAAAGACTTTTAGAACTGGTAAAGGAGTTCAGCAGTACAGCAGGATACAAGACCAACATTTAAAAAATCAAGTATCAAATAAGTATATGATTTTTACTCTACACCCATAATGGACTAGCTTAGAAAAAACAATGACATAGCTTCCATTAAAATAAAATACCTAGGGATTAATCTAACCTAGGAGGTAAAAGCTCTCTACAATGAAAATTTCAGAACACTGAAGAAAGAAACTAAACAAGATACCAGAAGATGGAAAGAACCATGTTCATGGATTGGCAGAACTAATATGGTCATAAGACCACATTACCCAAAGTGATCTACAGATTCAATGCACTTCCCGGGCTGGGGATTTAGCTCAGCGGCAAAAGCGCCTGCCTGGCAAGCGCAAGGTCATGAGTTCGGTTCCCGGTACCGGAGAAAAAGCCAAAAAAAAAAAAAAACCAAAAAACTCAATGCACTTCCCATTAGAATACCAATGACACTCTTCACAGAAATAGAAAAAAATCTTAAAATTCATACAGAAGCAGAGAAGCCCCCAAATAGCTAAAGGAATACTAAGCAAAAAGAGCAAGGCTGGAAGCATCAATATACCTGATTTCAAATTATACTACAAAGCCATAATAAGAAAAGGGCATGGCAGTGGCACAAGAACAGACATTTAGCCCAATGGAACAGAACAGAGGACACAGAAAAAAACCCACACAACTACTCTGATTCTAGACAAAGGAGCCAAAAATGTATGTTGGAGAAAAAACAGTCTCTTTCACAAATGATGCTAGAAAAACTGGATATTCACTTGTGGAAGACTGAAACTAGATCTCACTCTCTTATCCTGTACTCCAACCAGTACGAAATGGATCAAAGACAAGGTATAAGTGTTGAAAAATTGAAATGGGAGACAAATTTAGGAAATAAGATAGGAAATAATAGTAAAAGTCAACAAATGGGACTGTATTAAATTAAAAAGTTTCTGTACAGCAAGGGAAACAACTAACAGAGCAAAGAGGTAGCCTATAGAATATGAGAAAACCTTTATCAGCTACTCTTCTGACATAGAATGAATATCTAGAATATTGAAAAAGCTTTTTAAAAAAAACCCCAAAACAAAATCAAACAGCCAAATCAATAAATGGGCAAAGAAATTTATTGAGCAGACACTTCTTAAAAGACGTACAAATGACCAATAAGTATATGAAAAAATGCTCATCTTCAGCCATTAGGGAAACAAAAATTAAAACTATACTGAAATTCTACCTCACCCTAGTCAAATAGCCATCATCAACTATGCAAAAGATAATAAATTCTGGTAAGGTTACGGGGGAAAGGAAACTTTCTACACTGCTTTTGGAAATGCAAATTAGTATGGAAATCAGTATAGAGATTCTTCAAAATACTAAGAATAGAATTACTGTTTGATCTAGCTGTAACACTCCTTGGTGTATACTGAAAGCAATTAATGTTAGCGTACTGTAGAAATACTACAAGCCACATAGGCAAGAGATGGACTCAAGCGATAGGTACCCATCAACTGATGGATGGATAACAAAATGTGTATATACACAGTGTAGTATTACTCAGTCAAAAGGAAGAAGAAAATTCTATCATTTGCAGGAAGAATGGATGGATCTGAAGACAGTCATGTTGAGGAAAATAAGCCAGACTCAGAAGAATGTCACACATTCTCACTAACAGGTGGAACTTAAAAAAGATGGCGAGAAAATAGAAGGAAGGCTATCACTAGACAAGCAAAAGACAGTAAGAGTTGGGGAATTGGGTGTAAAAGCAGATATGGGGCAATGGAGATGAGCAAAATATATGCAATAAAACTCTACCAAAAATGGGGAACTGGGGGAAGAGGGGTGGGGGGTTGAAACTGATCAAATGTCATGTGCATGTGCTGCTCTGCCCATATGAAGCTCACTAATCTGTATAACCAATTTTTAAAAGAGTGGGGGTAAAAGAATTAATAGAACTTGGGGCTGGGGATTTAGCTCAGCAGCACAGTGCCTGCCTGGCAAGTGCAAGGTCATGAGTTCGATTCCCGGTACCGGAAAAAAAACTAAAAAAGAAAGAATTAATAGAACTTAATCCAAGTAACTACTTATGTACTAGATTAAAACCAAACGAATTCACCTGGGAGATGAGTAATCACAGGGGCAAAACATTGACCCTGGCATGTTAACTGTTGCCTTTTGTGTTGATAGGAGCCTGGGGAGTGCAGAAAACACAGAACTTGTTGACAAAAATCACTAGTCACCCAAGAACAGATTTTTGTCTTGGATTGTTTTGGAAGAACTTTGCCAAACAATTTAGACAAGACGATAACTTGGACATTTGCCTGTAACTCTTATAACCCCTTCCTGGATGGAGCTAAATATTAGCACTGGAACACTCATGGTAAATGGTCCTCTGAGGCTTAGTATCTCTGCTTGACTGAATCTGCTTCAACCCCTCTCACCTGAATTTTGAAAGCTACATGTGCTCTGATGTTTCAATTCTGTTGAATCACATTAAGTCGTGCAAGATAGCCAGCTTGGGGATGCAGTGGAGAACATTTTGAAATAATCTAAAAAAGAATATGCTTTATTAATTATGAGAGCATGGAGGGAATAAGGAGATTTTCCACAAGTAATTTGACCAAAATGGAAGTAAGATTAGGAAAAATAGACTCACTGGAAAATATTGATAGAATGATGTCTACATATTAACTCAAACAGTGGTTCTCTACATATTTAGCCCAGTTTAGTGTAAAAAATACACCAGTGTACCCATTCATTGGTGAAATCCTTTCTGAATATTCACTCTGCACCAAGCATATAGGAAGATACTAGACAACAATGATGTTTAAGGAAAATGAAGAAAGAGCATCCCCTGGCCCTGCTAGGCATTTCATTCTCAGAGATGGCCCAAACAGCGTGTTCCATCCTGATCCCCCTACCACATTTTCTTACAAGGAGGAGACTATGATTCAGAATGTTCTTTAAGCATTTCATTGCACTATCATTTTTGCAATCAATAGCATTAGAATAATCACCTTGCACAATGGAGTCATGCACATTAATGACAGAATGAGTGGCTTGTAATGACTCATCCTTCTTTTGAGATCCACTGATAAAAGCAAACATTTGCCTCTAGAGACACAGTGACATCATGGTGTAAGAGCCTTTTCCAGCAATGACCATTAAATACAAAACTGAAACTTAGCCTCCTTTGTATTTGCAGCGCCCTGCTTTGCTCAGCCAGGAAAACTCATGTTTCATCTACGCCTTCTGCATGGGCATCGGAAGCACGCTCAGAAGTACCCTAAGGAGAGCCTCAGAAGTGTTCGCAACAGTAATCCATGTTGCTCAGAGTAAATTTTGCCACCGTGTATAAACACAAACTGTCCAAGATATTTTCATGTTATTTAGTTTGGAAGTTACTCAAGGGAGAGTTTAGAATTAAGAAACTGGATACTATCTTGGATGTTGGTGATGGGCCATGAAAAATAAATTAAGTCCTTTAATAGTAAGTAATAAAAACCTCAGGAATTGTCCAGAGGAAAAAAAGGACTAAAGCAAAGTTTTGTAATATATTTTTCTGTAACTAATTAAATATTTTAAGAATTCAGTCAATTAAGACTCATAATTTTGTCATAAAAGTAAATTGCAACATAAAGTAAATGCAGAGTACTTTATTGTTATGAATGTTTAAAAGAAAATAGAGACACCACCAATTTATCCCTCAACAACCTTCCAAAAGTATTGAAATAATATATGCTATTATTGAAATAATATAGAGTATTGAAACAATATATGCTATTTAAAAATTATTAGAAATTCATTAAATTGGCAAGATACCAGATTTGATATATTCAGGATTTTGCTTTGGTAGGAAATTCTCTGAACTCCCTATTGGAATTAGGACTTTGGGGAGTTAGGTAAATTGAGGTTGTGAGCAGTAGTTTTCTTCTAATGAGGGAAACTGTTGTCCAAAGAATTTTTATTGGCTTAGATCCTCCCTTAGCATACAACACCAACAAAACAACCTTCAGGAACCAAGAAGAAAGTATCTTCCCACTTGCAGATTCTCCATAAAAGAGGATTTAGGTCAATTAGTGGGAAGAACTACTCTCTAGCTCCTTCAGGCTTTGTGAGCACATCAGGGGAGGGTTGGTGCTGTGGCTTAACTGTCTGGACAAAGGCACTAGTTCCACTATTAGAGGCACATACTAGCGCATTCCTCTGCTTTGTAGCTGCCCAGACTCTGAGTGTGTGCATACAAACTGTTCTGTCCAGAAAGAGGAGCCCACTCGGGCTGGAGATGTTCCCTGGAGGGATGTTCCCGCTCCCTTTTGCTGAGAACCAGAACATCTTTAGGCCAGGTAGAAAACCCAGACAGAAATAGCTGTGGACAGGGCACAGTTCATGGTAGTGATCTGCCTGCTTCCTAGCTCTTTTTTTCTCTTTTTTTGAGGGGGAGTGTCTGTTTATTTGCTTTCAGATATCATTGGTAAGTCTCTCAAGATATGTTTACTAGATAGTGTAAAGTGTTAAAAGAACAGAAGGTAGCCAGACTTTTAAGTGGTACTGAAAATTACACTGAGCACCTATTATGTGCAATCCACCCGGCAAGTCAGACAGAGATATATAAGATTAAGGCAGCACCATCGCTCCCTCTTGCAGTTTAGAGGCTAAATAGCTGCAGTCAGCACACAGGTGACTTGCTGTTTCAGTCATACAGATTTGCCAAATAGTCTTTCGTTGCTGAGCTTGTGATCATAATGACTGTGAGAAAACAAATTATCTTCCCATCAAAGCAAATTAAATAATGAAGAGCCAAATTGGATTTACCATTTTCTGTTTTAAATGTACTTCGTAAGGACATTTGTTTACTAAACTAAGTTTTTGTTTTATACAACATTAAAAAAGCCAAATTACCCTTCTCTTTATTTCTTTTTAATACAGTTATAGTTCAATGAAATTATCTGAGTTAAGGACCTTGATTTGTTATTTTTTAACCTTGTAGGAGTTTTTAGAAGTACAATCATCTTATTTACAATGGAATATAATTTTATTTAATAGTTTTTAGAAATGAGATACGGCCACAGTTCACTGTCTAAAGGTGCCTAAAATTAATAAATCTCATGAAATATCAATAGATTCTAGGAAATAATTTTAAAAACACTCTGTGAACAAAAGACTATAAATATATTTTCCCCAGTGATCAAAGGGTATGAGTTAAGAAGAAATAAGAAAGTTCCGCTAATTTTTAACCTCTAAAAATTAAGCACTTAGAAATATAAACTGAAAATATCATTTTTTAATGAAAAGAAACATGGCAATTCTGCTCCAGACAGAAAAAAATTAACTGTACTCACAAAAAACTTTTTAAGCCATTACTCCTAGATACTTAGATCACCTCCAACCTCCTCACCCTTTCAGTATCATCTTTAAGTGAGCATTTAATCTAGTAAAAAATAAAAATTTTAACGTAACCATTTCAGAGTAAAAAAAAAATGTTTGGGGAATCCAGATTTTAGATGAAATAACCTGGTCAGAACAATCAAATGAGCACTCTGGTGCTGCAAACAGACCCAGCCCAGGAGAGAGGCCTGAGTCCCGAAGGGTGGTAGGTAAGAAATGAGGCTCTTTTTTTTTTGGTACTGGGAATTGAACTCATGACCACAGGCTTGCCAGGAAAGTGCTTATGCCACTGAACTACATCCCTGGCCCGAGAGATGAGTTTTGAAAGCAAGAATCATGCTAACCTCTTGCTAACTGGCTTCCTTCCCTTTCTTACCTCGATTCTCCCTTAACTGATGCACAAAGTTGTAGGCTGACATTTTGTGTCTATTTCATGGGAGAGCCTTTGTTTTTTTTTTTAAAAGAAACAAAGTTCAGTACCTAACATATGGCTATGGGGTAAAAACTAATCATAGGCAGGTTGTATTTTTGTGTATTTTACTTTATCATAAGTAAAATACTTATTCCTTCAGTGAGCTATACCATCAGTACCTTAACTTTAGAAGGATTACTTTTACAAGTATGTGAAGCTTTGTGATACTTCATAGTTAAATTTGATAAAATTAGATTTCCTTTCACCATGTGTATTAGTTAGGGTTCTCTGAAGAAAAAGAACCAATATAGAAAGGGATTTATTATTTGGAATTGGCCCATGTGCTTATGGAGACTGAGTTCCAAGGTCCTCAGTCAGGGGAGCAGATGTTATTGCCTGAGGTGTTTTTTTTTTTTTTTTTTTTTTTTGGTACCCGGAATTGAACTCAGGACCTTGTGCTCGCCAGGCAGGCACTTATGCCACTGAGCTGTATCCCCGACCCTGCCTAAGTTTCAGGCCTCAGAACCAGGGAAGCTGACAGTCCTCTGATTCAGTTCACAAGGCGGCAGACTTAAGACCTGTAAAGAGCAGATGCTTTCGTTTGAGTGGAGGAGACCTGATATCCCAGCTCCAAAGCAGAAAAGCAGGAGAAATTACCTCTTACTGGAGGATGGGTCAGTGTTTTAGCTCTAGTCATGCCTTTAGTTGACTAGCTGAGGCCCACCTACAATCTTTGCTCATTCCACTAGTTCAGTGTGAACTGCTCCAGAAAACCCCTCACAACCACACCCAGAATGACATTAGACCAAGTGTTTGAGAACCCCGAGACCAGTCAGGTTGACACATTTCAATTAACCATCATACCAGTTCAGATTCATTATATGATTAAATGACTGCTGACATGCAAAGAAATACATTTCTACTACAAATCTAAGTATTATGGCTGTAGAACATCTGAGGACAGGTGCGACGGTTTGAATGTGTCACTAAAAGTTTATGTGTTGGAAACTTAATCCTCAAATTTATGTGTTGCTAAGACTGAGAAATAGTGGAGATAATTAGAGTTAAATGGGATCACCTGGGTGGGGTCCCATGACGGGATAAGTGGTTTTATAAGAGGAAGAGACTTGAGCTGGCCTGTTCCCTTGTTCTCTACCATGTAATGCCTTCTTCCAGATTATGATGTAGCAAAACAGTCCTTACCTTTTGGACTGTCCACTAACTGTTCACATTTATCCAACATAGAAATGGGAAGGGACATAACTGCCATTTTTCTAACCAGTTGGAAAGTACCTTTGATTTTTATCTTTATTTTTCTTTTAGGAAAAAAAAAAATTTAAAGCCAGGCATGGTGGTGCACACATGTAAGCCTAGCACTTGGGAAGCTGAGGCAGAAGGATTGCTCTGAGTTCAAGGCCAGCTTGAACTACATAGTGAGACTCTGTTGCAGAAAACAAATAAATTAGCTCAAGTACTATTTAATTAGTCACCACTCCTCAGGAACTGAAGCGCTGTGTAAATCCAGAGGTCTGTGGGTGAGGAGGCAGATTCATAGGGATTACAGTACTTGGTTAGAAAGCAGCCAGGTCACACCCCTCTAAACCCTTAAGCATTTAGGGAAGTATGTGATTTGAACACTAGAGTCTTATAAAGAGCGAAAAGATACATAAAATGTAAATGAAGTGGGAAGTGAATAAAAATTGTACACTGTTGGAGAACTTGGTACCTCCACATTGTATATGAATTCTT